CCCCCACAGCCCCATCCCTCTGCCCTGCACCCCCCACACACACTCAGCCTTCTGCCCTGAACCCAACACACACACTCAGCCTTCTGCCCTGAACCCAACACACACACTCAGCCTTCTGCCCTGACCCCTGAAACATCCACCCCCAGGTCTGGGGTCCCGGCCGCAGGCTCTACTCAGCCTGCTGCCGGCCTAGGTGAACAGAACCCCAGGCTGGCAGTGAGCTGAACAGGCTGGTGGCGTAAGATCAGCATTTTAATTTAATTTTAAATGGCGCTTCTTAAACATTTTGAAAACCTTGTTTACTTTACATATGATAGTTTAGTTATATAATATAAACTTATAGAAAGAGACCTTCTAAAAACGTTAAAATGTATTACTGGCACGCGAAACCTTAAATTAGAGTGAATAAATGAAGACCCTGTACACCACTTCTGAAAGGTTGCCTACCACTGGTGTACCCTATCACGCTGTAATGCAGTGGTGGGCAACCTGCGGCCCATCAGGGTAATCCGCTGGCAGGCCGCGAGACAGTTTGTTTACATTGGCCGCCCGCAGCTCCCAGTGGCCACGGTTCGCTGTTCCCAGCTAATGGGAGCTGCAGGAAGCGATGGCCAGCCCGTGCCACTTCCTGCAGCTCCTATTGGCTGGGAACAGCGAATCGTGGCCACTGGGAACTGCGAACGGCTGTGCCTTCCAGACGGTCAATGTAAACAAACTGTCTCACGGGCCATCAGCAGATTACCCTGACAGGCCTCAGGTTGCCCACCACTGCTCTAATGCAAAACCTTAATGGTGACCTTAGTAATATCAAGGCAGATTAACAGACTGCATAGATGTGGTGTCGTACTTTTGCATCAACACAATTCTGTGTTAGAATACAGGTTTGAAGCTGGGATATGTGTTGCTTTTCAGTATCTGCTGGGGAATGGAAGTGAAAGTCCTATGGACTCCTGGATTGTGTGACCAACTGAGCTGTAATGCAGCATGGAAGTGTCAAGGAATGCAGGAGACTCTTCCTTTAAGGCTTTGAGTGGGTCAGATGCGTCACATTGCAACCTTAACTGTCACTAAATGTTTTGGTTGTTAACGTCCAAGTCAGGGCTGAAATGGAATATGCTGTACATCATATGCCCCATCCTCCTATCCACTTTTGACAATTAATAGGTCTGGTGTGCAGAATCCATGAAGGTGGATCTGTTGTAGGGGAGTGGTGTGGGGTTTTTTGTTTTTTTTGGTGGAGAGTTCCAATTTCTGATAACCTGACTTTTTTGTGTGTGGGTAAATTGTGTGCATATATCTGACTGTCTTACAGAGGTACTTGGATGCACTTAGTTCAGTGTTCAACCGTTGAGTCTGCAGAGACTTGATGGAAGCATGTTGAGAGGTGGCTTGTTCATTGTATGGGTACTTGCACATGGAAAAGATATATGGTGTACTGCAGAGCTTTTTAATCTCATTGATAGAGGCATAACAAGATCACATGGTAGCTGGGTGGATTTGATTTAAATCAAATTGATTTAAATCATGATTTAAATCAGTGGTCAGGAAGACTCGATTTAATCATGGTTTTCTACATAAAAGCGCATTCTAGTTAGTTGTTATAACCTTAATACATATTCTTCACAACTCAGAGATAGATATAGGTTTCATTTTTAGAAGGTATGCACTATACATTTTTAAACAGTGATTTATTTTGAAAACTTTTCAGATTAGTTTTACAGCTATATCAGAAAATGAATGATTGATTACTTTTAGTAAATGAAAAACAGTTGGGAGGTGAACTATCGGCTTCAATGACTTCATAAATATCTCCAATTCAACAGGTTAATCATTAATATTTGGAGGATTTTCTTTCCATGCTGTATTTGGAGGAGAACATCACCAGACAGACATTTAAATTGTTTTATTTAACTAAAACAACATTAAGTAGTCTGGATTTTTTTTCTTCAACAGCAAACCTATAATATTTTAACAAAACAAGCTTGCTTCTCACATTTATCGCCAGACTTCTCCTTGTCCAGATCTATTCTGCCCCCAACAATCTTCGATTCATTGAACTTTTTGAAAGTTTGCACTTAGAGGTAAGGGATTGACTCTGTGTACACAAATTTGCAGAGGGACAGTAGAGTTGACGTCTGTTATTTCTCACCTCTATATATGTATTTTTAAAAACATTTTTGCTGTTAACAAGCATGTTACCTCTGGAGACACTTCTATACAGAAGCCTGTGTAACGCCATAAGATTTGGTCCCTAATCCGTGAACGATTGGAACTCATTTACAAAACTTTTCTTAAACGTTACATGAATATATTGTCTAATACTATAGAATTAGAATTTATAATCCCTATTCTATGATGGGATATCTTTGAGCTATAATGTATCTTAATTAAAACTATCTTTAGATAAAATGCTTTTTTGAGGAAAAAACGTATCAAAAACAAAACATTGATTTTTATCCACCCTGCATGGGTCAGAAGTTGAAGATGCACAAATTCAACCCTGAAATGCTGTAGTTTCCTAGTAGTCCGGATGATCAAATAGTGGAACAGTTTACCCGATAAGGTGGTGGACTGTTGCAGGCTTTAAGATTAGACAAGATTAGAGAACTTCCTGAAATACATGCTTCAATCCAGTTTATGGGAGAGGTTTTGTGGCCTGTGTGCTGGAGTTGGGTTGGATAGTCATGGTGGTCTTACCTGACTTGAGAATCTGTGAATTCCTCTCATCATCCCCTTCCCTTGTGGGGTTTGGGGGAGAATGAGACTGGCTGCATTTCCCTCAAAATCCTCATAACACTTGTAGCTCTGTATTATGGTGACTATATAATCTGATCTCATGCCTCAGATGGCTGCCTGCAGGGGTCAGGAAGGATTTTTTAATCCCCCAATACCCAATTGTAATATGGATTTTTCTCTCCTTCTGAAGCATCAGATCTGCCATGGGTAGAGATGGGCAGGGTGTGCTAGTGCCCTTGAGATGGTATAGAAAATTCTGTCTTAGATGCCTGGCTGGTGTCTTGCTCCTATGGTCAGGATCTAATTGATTGCTAGTTTTTTAGTTGGGAAGGGATCTTCTCCAGGTCGGATTGGAAGGTACCTTGGTGGGTTTGTCTTCCCCTGAAGCATAGTTCTTCTGCTAGGATCACTTTCGCATACCTCACCTAATAAATTCCCTGTCATTGCAGGGGCCTCAAGCATTGGTGGCACCTCAGTTTCTCCTGTTTTCTGCATGTGGCATATACCAATTCAGTATCCTGAGGAATAAAATGCTTTGGTTTTAACTGAAGTTGTTGGGCTCAGTGTAGGGGTATTTGGGTGGAATTTGTCTGAGATATACAGGAGGTCAGACCTAGATGATTTAATGGTTCCTTCTGGCCTTAAATTTTATGAAACTATATCCAGCTGTTGGTTTTACAGAGGGTTTGGTTGATGTAATCCTTTATCATCAACCTGATGATAAGAAGAAGAACCGGGGATTCTGCTTCCTGGAATATGAAGATCACAAGTCTGCAGCACAGGCTCGACGTCGGTTGATGAGTGGGAAAGTAAAAGTCTGGGGAAATGTTGTGACTGTGGAATGGGCTGACCCTGTAGAGGAACCAGATCCAGAAGTCATGGCAAAGGTAGGGATGGCAGAGCTACTCTGCAGTCTGTGATGATTTTATTTACACCTTGGTGGCAGCAGCTTTGGTGCTGCCTCTGAATGATGTCACTCTTCAGTTGGTTGGGGAATTTCTAAAAGTTAGATGGACTTACTTTTCTGTGAGTTGAGTGCATTTTCATCCAATACTCCAGCCCCTAGAGTGGAAATAACTAGCACTAGAAATCAAACTTGCCTGTCCAGTATGGCAGTACAGGGCACTTCTACTAGAGAGGCCATTCCCATTAGTCTAGAGTTAAATAGGACTATCCTACTGTATTGAACTAATGGTCTAGCTCTTCTAGCATTCTGCCTCTGGCACTGACAGATACTGGATGCTTTAGAGGAAGATGAATCTACCCATAACTCATTGACCTCAAGGCATGTGGCTTATGTCAGCAGTATAAACTTTAGTATTCTATTGCTCAATTAAAAAAAAACAAAAAACAACCTTGCACAGATATTGAGGGCTGGATTGTCTGCTGCATCCAATTTCCTCTGGGCACACTGAGTATGAGGGAGATGTGATTGGACCACAGTTCTGAGAATCTCACTCTAGCCGTTCCCCCCTCCCTGTACTGGAGGGAGCAAGCATAAGAGCCATCTCTGTTCCATTGCTAGGGATTACCAAGGGATTTGAGACCAGTTCTCCTTCGAGTGCTTGCTCATGTCCATTCCATTGTAGGTATGTGTGCTCGTCACATACACCGGTGCCAGAAGTTTTTCCCTCAGTGGTATCTGTAGGGGAACAGCTCTGGCGCCCTCTGAAGGGGCGTGCATGTGCACCGGTATAAGGGGTGCCGCCGGCTCCCCCCACCCTCAGTTCCTTCTTACCATCAGTGATGGTGCTGGAACATCTCCTTGCCTCGGCAAGCTTACTCCTTTCAACCTTGCCTAGTTGTGAACTTTCTGTATATAGTTGTTAGAAATTTGTTAGTTTTATAGTTCCCTTAGTGTAGACTAGGTGTTAGTTTGTTAGTCCCGAATGGGACTTAGCCCAGGGATGGGGCATGCCCTGGTCCCTGGGCTTCAAACTTTGTGACTGTTGCAAGAAACCTATGCCAGTCAGTGATCCCCAGAGAAGCTGTTTGAAGTGCTTAGGGCAAACCCACGTTAGCCACAAGTATCGCATTTGCAAGAGCTTCTGACTGCGCACCAGAAAGGAGCAGGACATTCATCTCTAAGCGCTCCTTATGGAGTCGGCCCTTACACAGGCCTCAGAGCCGACCAGATCAGACTTTACTCCCAGCACTGCGGCCTCGGTGCGGAGCACGCCACCAGCACCGGCCTCAGACCGGCACCGATCCCCATCCCTGGTACCAGCTAAAAAGCAAAGAGAGGCTGGGAGGGGACGTTCTCTTATACCCCGTAAAGGGGAGGAGAGAGCAAAGATCCATGAGGGACAGCTCTTCGCCATCCGGATGGAGGTCAGGCTCCAACTTCGGAGCAGCAGAGGCACTCAGCACCGGGTGGTGCTGGCCATGCTTGAGTCTTTTCAGGCCGCAAAGGACATTCTGTCCCTGTCCATGCTACCTACACTGGTCACAGAGGTGCCCCGTTCAAGGAGTAAACTTGCCTTGGGACCCTTTCAGCGGTCCCCATCAGTGCACCACTGCTCCTCACCATAGGGGGTGCCCTGTCAGCGCTCACCTGAGCAGCGCCACCAGACGAGGGTCGGCTTGCCTGCCAGAGTTCCCAGGGTCTGTCCCCGGACTCCAGGCAGCGTTCCTCGGGCTCGAGGCGGTGATAGCCAGTGGGCTAGCACAGACCCGCAGAGGCGCAGCACCAGAGCCCTGGTGCTGGGAATCCCCGAGCCCGTCTCCCAGCTCACAGCACCGCTCCGGAGAGTCAAGATGCTGGTCCCTGGAGCCCCGTCACCGCTCGCTGGACTGCTGGTGCAGTTCGCCGCAAGCGCATCAACGGTCTCGGACACGTCGGTCTACTCACTCACATTCCCGCTCAACGGAGCGACGGTGCTTGCTAAGTGTAAGGCTTTGATCGCTGGGTACCACTGCTGATCCACCGAATGCCGTCACCGGGACCACGGCACCGAGAGCCATCGCCCTTGTACAGGTCCTCAGCGGAGGTCCAGGGCCAGAGCCGACGGGATAGGGATAGACAGGCAGCCTTGGCACCATCCTGGTTCCCCAGACATGTGTCTCCCCCCCCCCCCCCCCCCCTCCTTGGGCTCTGAGAGCAAGGAGGAGATTATCCCCGCGGGCCAGGGTCACCCATCAGAGGCACTGGCATTCCCTGCTGGGCCACCGGTGGCAGCATGGGCCCCTGGCATCTCTGGAATCCCTGGGGATTTCCCCAACCATTGCAGGGGCATAGGTTGGCTTTGGTGGCATCTGACAAATGGTCGGCGACAGTCTCCCGCCCACCACCTGATTCGGACGCGGAACCAGAGCGGGCTCCCCAGGATCAGCCAGTCTGTGCTGAGGCTCCCATGGCAGAAGTGGCGGAGTTGGCAGACCTGCCTGTACCTGCCTCCTTGTCCTCTTTGCCTGATGAAGTGATAGTGGGGGCTCTCTCACCCAGTTCCCCAGGACTATGCCAAGGCTCACCAGGAGCTCCTGAAGAGGGTCGCCTCAAACCTGGGGCTGGAAGCAGAGGAGCTGGCAGAGCTCTTGGACTCCCTATTTGATGTATGGGGTGCTGCAGCCACCGCCAGCGTGGCATTGCCGTTGCACAAGGGAGTGGTGAAAATCACTAAGGCCCTGTGGTAGACACCCTCCTCCCTGCACCCACATCTTCAAGTGGGCAGAGCGAAAATTCTGCGTCCCCACTAAGGGGTATGAGTATCTTTATACTCACCCTGCTTCAAGCTCACTGGTTGTGTCGGCAGCCAGTGAGCACGACAGACAGGGTCAACCGAGATTGACACCTAAGAACAAGGAGGCAAAGAGGTTCGATCTCTTTGGTAGAAAAATTTATTCTACATCCAGCTAAGTGTGGCCAACCATCAGGCCTTGCTTGGCTGTTATGACTTTAATATTTGGCAGTCCATGGCCAAATTCTCAGACTCACTGCCAGAGAAACCCAGGAAGGAATTCCTGGGTATCCTCGATGAGGGCAGGGCGGTGGCCAGGGCAGCCCTCCAAGCGGCATCAGATACGGCAGACTCTGCGGCCCGAACCATGGCCTCAGCCATTTTGATGAGGCAGGCGTCCTGGTTGCAGTCATCAGGCCTTTCGACGGAGGTTCAACAGTCCATCCAGGACCTCCCGTTCGATGGCCTGGCACTGGTTTCTGAGCAAACAGACAATAAATTGCAAGGCCTGAAAGACTCAAGGGCTACCTTGTGCACCCTGGCCCTGTATGTACCGGGACCGGCGAGGAAGCGATTTAAGCTGCCACAGACCAATTGGTTCAGGAGCCAACACTGGTCAGAGCCCTTTGTAAAAAGAGAAAGGGCTTCAAGTGCCAGGAAGGCCACCATCTGGCATCCTCTGCTCACTCGAGCTCCACCTGTAACCAACTGGGTGGGAAGCAGGCATTTTGAGGGTACACTCAAGGGTGACCTTCCAGTCTGTGTCCTGGATCCTGCTCCTCTGTTTTCCAACCGCCTCTTCCCCTTCCTTCCTGCCTGGGCCTCTCCAACATCTGACTGGTGGGTCCTCAGCACAGTAGCAGGGGGATATACTCTCCAGTTTTTCTTTCTCCTTTTCCCCCACCCCACCCCGCCCCTGTCCTCCTTCAAAGACTCTTCTTGTGAGCATCTGCTTGCTCAGGAGGTGCAGAGCCTTCTGGGAGTGAGAGACATGGAAAAAGTCCTGCTACATTTAAGGGGCAAGGGGTTTTACTCCTGCTATTTTTTTAATCCCAAAGGCCAAAGGGAGTCTATGGCCCGTCCTCGACCTGCAGAGCCTCAACAAGAATCTCAAAAAGTGGAAGTTTCACATGGTCTCCTTGGCCTCCATCATTCCTTCCCTAGATCCATGAGACTGGTACGCTGCCCTCGATTTGAAAGACACTTACTTTCACATATCGATATTCAATGATCAGACGGTTCCTACGTTTCATATTTGGGACCGTCCACTACCAGTTTGCAGTGCTCCCTTTTGGTCTAGAAACAGCGCCAAGAGTGTTTATGAAATGCATGTCAGTGGTGGCAGCCTACTTCAGGCGTCGGGGTATCCAGATTTGCCCATACCTTGACTGGGTCATCAAGGGCTGGTCCAGGTCCAGTGCAGCGTCGAGATGCTGCAAGCTGCTTGTCGAGCCCTGGTCCTTCTGATCGAGTCCAATGGCTAGAGTTTATTGGGGCGGTACTCAACTCTACCCAAGCCAGAGCATTTCTGCCAGAGGCCAGGTTCAAGGCAGTGTCACATCTAATTGCCAGCATCACTGCACATCTGCTCACCACGGCCCGGGTCTGTCTCAGACTATTGGGTGACATGGAATGTAGCCTGATTTGGGGTGTGTTAGTAGTGTTGATTTAATGTATCCACTTAATTTAATTATATTTAATAATTTTTAATTAATGATTATTATTATCATGGATATTAATTAGTATGGGTTTTGGCTTGCCAATTTGTTTGATCAGAAGATAGTTTGTCCTGAATCAGGCTTCAGAGTTTATAAAAGGACCTTCGGGGGTATGACAGGAAGCTCACACTGAGACAGATATAGTCATAAAGACCTTGTATTAAAATCAATGAAATAGTAAGCAAATGGTAAAACAGTTAGGATTACAGAGTTACAAGTATCACAGTTCTTTAAGAGATATGTATATATGTATGTAGTAATACACTTTTGGTTAATACTCATACTTTGTTTTAATAACCTGGTGTTGGAAAATAAGGGACAATGCCTTTGGTTTTCACATCTGGCAGAGGAAGCTAAATGCAGAGCTGTTTACTCTCTCTTTACTTAGCTTTATAAATCTTAAACTGAAATAAACGCAAGCTTAGCCTAGTTACCTTAAACTTAAAGTTTGAAAAGAAATAAAGTACAGCCTATTAATAGTTAATAGCTGTCGTAGATGGGTAGCATCGCTACATTGTTGAAGGTGGAGGCAATGAAGAGTAGACAGGAGTAGATTGCCTCCCTAATGGCGAGCTGCCTCGCCTTTTTATAGGGCATTAGTCGGAAATCCTTCCTCTTATGCCCAAATTTCATCCTTCCTCCACAGAAATGTTAGGGTATATTTACCCCATAGGCTAATATGTATGTGTGTATGGATGACAGGTAAGTACACATTTGTGGTGTACTTGTTACATTTGTGGGCACTTTGAAAAATCCCCTTTTGCCATCCTTTATTGTTATTGGTTTAGGCAAAAGGTCTCTAGACATCTGCGTGGGTGTTTTCTCTATTTTTACTTTTCTAGGTGAGGGTCCCAAAATGTGCTAATTTTGCCTTCGCTTCACATACAGGGTTTTGGCCTGTAGGTCTCTTGCATTACAGCCAAACTTATTTTTAATATAAATATATAAGCCTATTACATCAAATACTCAAATTTATAAGAAAGATATATTTATACAGACCTGCAGATTAATCCTTAGGGCTACAGGAAGCATGCACATATGTTGTCCGCCATGCGAGACTCAGGCCCCACACCCTTCAGATATGGCTAGTAGCAGTCTACTCTCTGGCCAGACATCACCTGGACAAAAGTCATCACGGTTCCTCATAGAATATCAGGGTTGGAAGGGACCTCAGGAGGTCATCTAGTCCAACCCCCTGCTCAAATCAGGACCAGTCCCCAACTAAATCATCCCAGCCAGGGCTTTGTCAAGCCTGACCTTAAAAACCTCTAAGGAAGGAGATTCCACCACCTCCCTAGGTAACCCCTTCCAGTGCTTCACCACCCTCCTAGTGAAAATTTTTTCCTAATATCCAACCTAAACCTCCCTCACTGCAACTTGAGACCATTACTCCTCATTCTGTCATCTGGTACCACTGAGAGCAGTTTAGATCCATCCTCTTTGGAACCCCCTTTTAGGTAGTTGAAAGCAGCTATCAAATCCCCCCTTATTCTTCTCTTCTGCAGACTAAACAATCCCACTTCCCTCAGCCTCTCCTCATAAGTCATGTCATATCTCTGAGGGTACTTACCTCTCTTCAGTGGTGGACTGATCCGAGGTTGGTGTTGTAAGGAGTGGCGTTCGAGAGTCCACGACCCACGGTCTCCCTGATATCGGATGCGTCCGACCTTGGTTGGGGAGCACATCTTGGTACACTGCAAACTCAAGAGTTACAATCTTGAGAGGCACTTGCGTTACATATAAACGTCAGGAAGCTCAGGGTCATCCAGCTAGCCTGTGGTGTTTTCCTTCCCCCGCTGTCCTATCGGGTAGTGCAGGTGTTGATGAACAACATGACCTCAATGTTCTATGTCGACAGGCGGGGGGAGCATGCTCATCGGCTCTCTGCCAGGATGCCCTCCACCTGTGGGACTTTTGCATTCAGCATGCGATCCACGTGGAAGCCTCGCATCTCCCCAGTGTCCAAAACATGCTGGCGGATCACCTCAGCAGGTCCTTCTCTCACCATGAGTGGTCACTCTTCTTGGAGGTAATCAGGGCGCTCTTCCAGAAGTGGGGGGCTCCCTGAGTGGACCTGTTTGTCACCAGATTGAACAGAAAGTGTCATCAGACCTTGAATCCAAGGCCTTGGCAGAGGCTCCCTTTCCGATGCTTTTCTCCAGGGAGCCCTGATGTATGCCTTCCCGCCAAATCCACTTATCAGCAAAGTCCTCTCAAAAACCAAGAGGGACAACGCACGAGTCATTATGATCACCCCGGCGTGGCCTTGCCAGCATTGGTTTGGCATGCTCGTGGCCCCATGGCTACTGCCCAACCACCCGGACCTACTCTCACAGGATCATGGTCAGCTCCTGAACCCAAACCTCACCTCTCTCCACCTCACAGCTTGGATGCTGTGTGAATCCGGAGGAACAGGCCTGCTCTAGTCAGGTACAGCAAGTTCTCTTGGAAAGCAGAAAGCCCTCCACCAGAGCGACTTACCTGGCAAAGTGGAAGCATTTTTTTCCTGCTGAGTGTCTGAGTGCAACATCTCCCCTACCCAGTTGTCTGTGTAGTCCATCCTGGATTACCTGCTTCACTTAAAGCACCAGGACCTTGCCCTCTCTTCGATTAAGTTGCACTTGGCAGCCATATCGGCCTTCCATCCTCGTGTCCAGGGTAAGTGGTATTCTTGCATGAGATGTCAATCAGAGCCATTCAAGGCCCTTCAGGAACCTTTCTGCCGATCTGGGACCCGGTCTCCCAATGGGACCTCAACCTAGTCCTCTCCAGGCTCACGGGTTCCCTCTTTGAGCCCATGGCTTCTTGTTCCCTTTCCCATCTGTCGTGGAAGGTTGCATTCCTTGTAGCGATTACCTCGGCAAGGCATGTATCCGAGATCAAAGCCCTCACTTCGGAGCCACTGTACACGGTATTCTACAAAGACAAGATCCAGCTGCAGCCCCATCCAGCTTTCCTGCCTTCGATGGTGTCGCATTTCCATGTCAACCAGGATATCTTCCTCCCGGTGTTCTGTCTGAAGCCTCACTCTACCAACGAGGAGAGGCGACTGCACGCTCTGGATGTCCGGCAGGCCCTGGCGTTCTATCTGGAGCATACCAAGCCCTTCCACAGATCAACCCAGCTCTTTATCGTTTCAGCTGACAGGATGAAGGGCCTTCCAGTGTCCTCTCAGAGGATTTCGAATGGATCACCACCTGCATCCATACTTGTAACGAGTTGGTGCAGGCTGTGCCTCCACTGATAGTGAAGGCTTAGTCGACTAGGGCTCAGGCGTCTTCGGCTGCCTTCCTGGCACATGTCCCTATCCAAGACATCTGCAGGGCCGCGATGTGGTCTTCAGTACACACATTCACAACACATTACACCATCACTCAGCAGGCCAGAGACGATGCAGGCTTCGGCAGAGCTGTGTTGCAATCGACACGTCCTTGAACTCCTACCCACCTCCGGTGGTACTGCTTGGGAGTCACCTACAATGGAATGGACATGAGCAAGCACTTGAAGAAAAAAAAGACTGTTACCTTTCGTAACTGTTGTTCTTTGAGATGTGTTGCTCATATCCATTCCATGACCTGCCCTCCTTCCCAACTGTCTGAGTTTCCGGCAAGAAGGAACTGAGGGTCGGGGGAGCCGGTGGTACTCCTTATACCGGTGCATATGCACACCGCTTCAGAGGGCGCTGGAGGTGGTTCCCCTACAGATACCACTGAGGGAAAAACTTCCGGCACTGGTGCATGTGGCGAGCGCGCGCACACCTACACTGGAATGGACATGAGCAACACATCTTGAAAAACAGTTACTTTTTCATAACTGTCTTTTTTTCTCTTGCACCGCCTTAGTGTCATCAAAAAAACAGAATGGAGTGAAGAATGTGCCCCCAGACTCTAGAGTTCCCAGTCAGAAACCCTGATCACATTGCACATGACACTGGTTGCCAGCAACGTTCCCTCTAATTTTTTTGTATCCGTGTGCGGAATGAATTTTGTTATGTGCACCAATATCGAGGTGATGTGCGCCACCAGTGGAAACAAAAGACCTAGATATAATATATATTTTTTAAAAGTTACCATAGGGATAATTACTCCAGCCAGGACATTTTAGAAGTCACTACTCAAGGAATTAAATTTTAAACATAGGAGAGAAATAAAGTTACGAAATGCATAGACCAGTCAAAAAACTAAAATAACAGCACTTCGAAAGAATAAAATTACAGAGAATATATGTGCATTGCAGGAAGTACTAAGAAGTAACAACACAAGTATGTATTGGGAGGTGAGTGACTGCGTGTGTGTGTGTGTGTGCGCGCGCGCACGGGCTGCTGGGGAAGTGTATGAGACACTGTGCATTGTCTCTAAGCAGAGAGACACTCAGAAGCAGCTCTGTCCTGCTCCTGAGCTGCCCTGTTCTTTCTCCCCTGCTCTGTGAAGATGGGGTACATGGGTGGGGGCCACCTTCCCCCCCCCCCCCGCATAGCAAGCAGGAGGGTCCCGGAAGCAGCTGTGTGGGGCTCTACTAATCAAGTGCCCAGTATTTGATTGACTCTCGAGCCGCTGCGCAGCTTAGAGGGAACATTCCCAGCAAGGAAAACAACTGAACTGAAAACCCCAAAGGATATGACCTGCTTTCTTTGAAAATAGGCACTGAATTTTTCAAGACTTAACTGAAATCTGTCATTAGGAAGTAGAGCATAGTGGAGGAATGGGGCTTGTTTATTGGAAGTCAGCTAATACGTTTGTTCCCTCGGATGTCTGTTTTAGTTCTGGAATTACTTACATCTTTGATGCTTATCTTCACTAGGTGAAAGTTTTGTTTGTGAGAAACTTAGCCACTACAGTGACAGAAGAAATCCTCGAAAAATCCTTCTCAGAATTTGGAAAGCTGGAAAGAGTGAAGAAATTAAAGGATTATGCTTTTGTTCACTTTGAGGATAGAGGTGCGGCGGTAAAGGTAAGACTGTGGCTTTCTTACCTTTGAATGGCTAAACACTAACTCTTCGCCTTTGGTGAAAAATATATAGGAAGTGTATGTTGGTAAGATTATTTTTCTCAACTTCATGGTACATTGCAGTGTACATTTAATTCTATATAGTGTAGGATCTGTTTGATATTGCTCCTGCTACAGGAAAACTCCAGTAATTTATTCTAATCATTTCAGTAGCTAGAAAGGTTCAACAAGCATTGCTGTTGCAGAAATTCCTTTTTAAAAAGCATTTTCTACTTCAGGGGAATCTTGCACCAAAAATAAAAAATCTGCGCACAATATTTTAAAACTCTGCATATTTGTTTGTCAAAATAACAATAGAATCACTCCAATTTAAATTATTTTGGTCACTTATTTTGAAATATCTGTCAACAAATATGTCCATGATACAGATGGGGGGGGGAGATTCCCCTAGAAGTAGAAAGAGAGAAACCCCTATGATGACCCAGTTCCAGTTGGGGGGCACCCCCTGAGCCAAGACGCTTGCACTCCCTCCCTCCCAGAACCTTTAGTCCCCTCAGCTTTTTTACTGTCCCGCTGGGAGATGTGGTGTGGTGTGGCCCTGCCCTTCCTCACTCTTTGCCAGAGCCGGGTCTCCCAGTCCGTTTTCCATCCCTGAGTGGATGAGGATCAAGCCAGGCTGCCAGAGCATGCAGAGCCTCCATCCCCACAGCGCTGGGCTCACTGCGAGCTAGAGAGCTGGGCTCTGCAGAGTACAATGGCCCCTAATGGCTACCAGCAGCTCTGCAGCCCCAATTCTCTGAGGGGAAACAGGAAATTGTGCACAAACATTAATTCTGTGCAAATTCTGTATTGCGCAGGGGCACAGAATTCCCCCAGGAGTAATTTTCTGGCTCTTGTTTGCTGCGTGCTCTCCCATTGACGGAGAGTCGAAAGAAGCTTACTGACTTAACCACTTGAGCCCTTGCTCTGCTACCAGAGTCTGGAGCAATGTGCATGGTGGCTGCAGATTCATTCTTTCATAAGTAGTTTTTGGCAACAACCTGCTGAACGGGCACTCAACTTTTTACTATTGAGCCAATGCCTGGGGATGAGGATACGGCTTCTCTCCATCAAAGCTCAGCATTTCTCAAATGTGGCCATTGTGGCTGCATGCAGCCACCAGGGGTTTTTCCTGAGGCCACGACAGCCTACTGGGCACAGATGGGGGAGGGGGCAAAGCAGCGGCTCCTCCCTGCAGCGCCCAGGGAGAGGGCTCTGGGAGAGGTCTTCAGCCCCTCACCCCCCAATTTCAGCCAGAGGTGGGCTTGAGGGTCCCCCCCTTTCCCAGCCCGGCTTCAGCTGTGGGACTCTGGGGATGGGGCTTCAGCAGGACCAGTCTTACTGGGTTCCCTGGCCAAGAGGCAAGGAGTGGGCTGAGCCTGCGGTGTGAGGCTGTGGAAGGGAGCTCAGGACAATGGGGGGCAGGGAGGAGTGGGGCCTGGAGGGGACAATGGGGCACCCAGGAGGGTGGAGGGAGGCAGCAGGAACCAGAGGTTGATGGGTTGAGAGGCAGCGGGGGCTGGGGCACTATAAAATAGAACTGTACGTTATTTTTATTATTGACTGCGAAAAAATCCCCTACATAAATAAATTGCAATGATTTGTACATGTATATGTACATATTTATTTGCTTTCTCTAAGTTAATTAAGTATTTAGGAGAATTTGTCAGAGCGGTCACCAGCAAGAGTTGGTGGCTGTACTGAGTCCACCAAAAATTTTGTTGAGAACACCTGTTTAGCTGTATCCTGTAGTTGTTTATACATTGAGAGAGTCTACTGTTTTAATTAAGCAAAAGGGAGCTCTGTTTTATAGAAATTACTGCCCAGGAGAATTAGTGAAATGACATTTAAATCAAGAATAAAATTTGAGCAATTGAGAACAGATGAAATATTTAGTCAGCTTTAAGTCTACTTCAGTTACTAAGATTTTCTTTCTCCAAAATGTTGGATTCCTCTTTCAAGTAAGGTTTAAGAGATCACAATTAACACTGTCCAAGATCCCTTTAAATCTGCCCTTTCACAGGGATCCTTTTCCCACCCTCCAGCCAACCCTATGTGACTTCAGGAAGTTACAACTTGCTCACTTTTTTTCTTTTTGGCTGTGGAGCATCCCTGGAGGATCCCATGGGTAGCATTTGCCTGGGGATCTCTTAGCAGAATGGCCTTCTGCTCCTCTTTTACCATATACCTTTCAGAGGGAGGACCCGACTTTGAAATGTAGTCAGTGTGCACGTCTGGTCTAGCTGAAGACTACTTTTCTGTGAATAAATGCCTGATGTGCATGCAAATCAGGTTTTCATAGGTGTTTGTGGTTTTTTTGGTGGGTATGCTGTTCATACCTGTAGTCAAGAACTTGCTTCTGTGCATCTATCTGAAATATATGTTTCTTTTTAAAGAAAGTAGGAGTATTGGATCTATGCAGTATACAGTTCAGTTGCTTCTCATTTTTTAGTAAGTTCTAGACTTGGCAAAGATCAGATTTCTTATTGAGGGGCTCTTAAAAATTTTATTTTGTTTTTCACTTTATCATACAAAGACAAGGAGATCAAAACAAATGTTTCAGTGTTAATGATAGAAGGATTTAGAATGGAATTGACATGTCATCCTTATAGCTAGTGTAAGAATGGGAGTGTTGAAGGAAGTTTTTAACTTCCAGTGGCTCAAGTAACCTTCATAACAGATGCAGAAGTTTAAAATTTGGGGGTGAAAGGTCTATTAATTTGTTTGACATATCCTGCAATGTGAAATCCTTGAAAGGATTGATTATATTTTCCCTTCAATTTCAACTGCATCTTTTTGGTGAACTAGTGAACCTTTTTAGAAAGGCTTAACATTTTTCTGATGTTTGGAAGTAAACTTAAATGTGGTGTTTTTCTGACTTTCATACAGGCCATGAATGAAATGAATGGAAAAGAGATAGAGGGGGAAGAAATTGAAATAGTGTTAGCTAAACCACCAGATAAGAAAAGGAAAGAACGCCAGGCTGCCAGACAAGCCTCCAGAAGCACTGCGTAAGTCTTCACTTCTGCAGTATTGTAATGTACAAATAGCAGAACTTCATGCTGCTACAGGACGTAAGCTAACCGAGGCAGTCCTTCCCCAGCCCATATATTGTTAAATTTAAGCAGAAAGTAATGGTGGTTTAGGAGACTCTTACAAGACAAATTAATGCATGTTTCTTTTTTTATTAGGTATGAAGACTATTATTACTACCCTCCACCTCGTATGCCACCTCCTATTAGAGGCAGAGGTCGTGGAGGGAGAGGTGGATATGGCTATCCCCCAGATTACTATGGCTATGAAGATTATTATGATGATTATTATGGTTACGACTATCATGACTACCGTGGTGGCTATGAAGATCCCTATTATGGCTATGATGATGGCTATGCTATAAGAGGAAGAGGAGGAGGAAGGGGTGGGAGAGGTGCTCCACCACCACCTAGGGGGCGGGGAGCACCACCACCAAGAGGTAGAGCTGGCTATTCACAGAGGGGGGCACCCATGGGACCACCAAGAGGAGCCAGGGGTGGGAGAGGGGGTCCTGCACAGCAGCAGAGAGGACGTGGTGCTCGTGGAGCCAGGGGCAACCGTGGGGGCAACGTAGGAGGCAAGAGAAAGGCAGATGGGTACAACCAACCTGATTCCAAGCGCCGCCAGACCAACAACCAGCAGAACTGGGGCTCCCAACCCATCGCTCAGCAGCCGCTCCAGCAAGGTGGTGACTATGCCGGTAACTATGGTTACAATAATGACAACCAGGAATTTTATCAGGATACTTATGGGCAACAGTGGAAGTAGACAAGTGAGGAGGGCTTGAGAATGATATTGGCAACATAGAATTGGCTATAGCTCTACACCCTTTAAAAAAAAAAAAAATTAATTGGCTTAATGTTTCATCTTTCAGTAGCAATTGGCTGCCATTTGTATTGGGCTGAAATCACTCTATTGTGTATATATTCGAGTCTTTTATTTTCCTTTTTCATAAACGCACTTGGACATTATTGGGCTTGCAGAATTCCCAAACTCCATTTGGGGTTTCAGTGCTTTTATTGTTTTAGGTTTCATTTTAGCAGTTTAAAAGCAGGATGGGCACACTGTTCAATCATGATTTTGCAGAACCTCTGGTTTTGGACAGTTTCCTTTTTCGGATTTTGGGTAGACTACATAGGAGTATGCTGTACATAAAAGTAAAAGCTAGTGCTTTGTCTTAGTAGTTTTAAGAAATTAAAACAAAAAAATTAAGATTTCTTGTATTGAAAATAACATGATTGTATGTTTTGCATTCCTAGAAGTAGGTTAACTGTGTTTTTAAATTGTTATTACTTCACACCTTTTTGAAAATCTGCCCTACAAAATTTGTTTGGCTTAAACGTCAAAGCCGTGGCAATTTGTTCCTTGATGTGATTGTATTTCCAATTTCTTGTTCATGTAAGATTTCAATAAAACTCAAAAATCTATTCAAAACATTACCTATTTCAAATTCAATTGTGTCCTAAAACATTATTTCATTGGTAATTCTTGGAAGAAACATTGTTTTCAAAGTATAACTGCCTATGTGAGTGATCAAATTCATTCAAATTTCTTGTGCTTTCCAACATGTAGCATTGTGGACATCAGACAAAGCTAGGCGAAATTACAAATAGTCCAAAGGGGGCACTGTTGTTTAATTGGTGTTCTATAACCTAATCACATCTAGTTCTGATACTTACTGCTTTGCTTTTTAAAAGGGTTCAAATGCATCTGAATGTTCTTGCAGAGCTTGTTAACAGTTATTAATTATAATTATCTCGTATGGAGAAGGAATTTGGAGACTGCAATTTGTTAGCCCCTGTTCCTTTCTGTTAATATTGTGTATTGTTGGGCCTCTAGCAGCCCCCACATAGGTATCTGTCCTTATTGTACTATGTGGTGTACAAACATATAGGAAGAGAGTCTCTGTCCCAAGAATCTTAGTTTAGGTCAAATGGTTAAATTTGTTTGTGCTAATGTTTATGACAAGGTTGAGACTTGTAAGTTAAAGTGCTGTGGCAATATAGACTGAGTTTGCTACAGACAACACAAACATGTTCTCTACGTTCTGCTTAATTCCATCACTGGCATTTCGATGATCTGCCATGATGAACAATTTGCCTTAGAATTCTCATGCCTTTTAATAAAGGCTTAAATTTAAAAAAATGCTAGTCACCATCTTTCTGGGTGATTACTAGCTGTGTGTTTTGGAGTATTTTGTTGCTTTTATTGACTTCTACCTTTGACAATCCTGGAGGTCTTTTTGACTGCCAAGTCTTGAAATTAGTTTTCTCGGTATCTTTTGGGCTGTGCTGTACCCCAGTGAACACTTGCTTTTCAAGAAAGAAAAACAAAAGGATTAAAACTTCTGTTACAAGGAAAAAATATCATTTCTGGACCTGCTGAATGTCCAAATTAACACACTCCCTCAGATATGTTGATCAAACTATTTTACAATACTCTAAACACACAAATTGTTGGGGACATTAAACTTCAGTGGGCACATGTTCCCTTTGCCTCTCGATGCTGTTTGGTGTCTTTCATAACAATTGTATTAGATCAGAATGTAGAGACTATTTCTTCCCCCACATACCGTTTTGTTTTTGTGAGTCTGGTAGACATTTGCATGGGTTTTATGGCTTCTGACCTGACCGAACTGGAGTGAGAAAATGTATACCTGCTTCTCAAAATGAGTTTTCCCTTTGTGTCCATGTACTAACTTAAAGGGTACAGATCCAATAAAAACATCAGCCATACAACAGTCCATAAAGCATTTTTTAACTTGCATTCTAGTCACGGTATGCCAGTTTATAAAAAAAACACACACAAAAACAAAAAAAACCTGCCTTAAATCATTGGGCCAAATCTTGTAGTCCTTATTCCTTACTCAAGCAGTGAAGTCAGTGGGACTACGGCCTATGTAAGGGTTGCAGGTTTACGCTCATAGTGACTATCTGGCTTGTAATTCTATTAATACAAGAAGCATACATCTTACCCTCTTCTATCAGAGTCTGGCTTTGTAGTAGTTAAAGTAATTGTCATGAAAAGATGTATCTCTTTTTGGTAACCAAACAAAATCCCACAGTCCCAAATAGTATTTTCATTTTAGTAAATTATAAAGATGGGGGGAGGAAATCTGGTATAGATAAACTGGAGTCAAATTTAAGTACTGCCTTCCCTCCCTGGAAGGAACAGAACTTTTACTTAATGCACATTTCAGACAGCTTAGAGACCCTTGACAGAGGGAAAGTGTCAAAATATTTGTTTATATGGACAAAGACTAAAGTTACTCTAATATAATCTGTTACAGAAAATAGCAAGGAACAGAAATAACATTAAAACAACGAGGAGTCTGGTGGCACCTTAAAGACTAACAGATTTATTTGGGCATAAGCTTTCGAAAGCTTATGCCCAAATAAATCCGTTAGTCTTTAAGGTGCCACTGGACTCCTCGTTGTTTTTGTGGATACAGACTAACACGGCTACCCCACTTGACAACATTAAAACTGATTGCCTGTACTACAAAGGTGCATTTTTGGATACCTTTACACCAAAATACAAGTTATTCTAATGCCTTGATAGACACTGGAAGTGAAGTGATCTATTTTACACAAATTTAAAATGAAATTCAGTTAATTTTGATACTTGCAAGACTTACAAGCTGCACTGATTTCTTTATGCAACTTGTGGATGCCCAAATGCACCAGTTAAAACTTGCAAAAACTCTTTAAATAAAACTCCTTCTTTTTAGAAGACACACTAAACTATGGGAAAGAATCAGTGGTATACATTGAAGTTAGAGAAAACTGCACCAAAAGATATCACCATAAACATACCATAATATCAAAATGGAAGAACATAGCATGTTCAGTGACAAACACAGGAAGAATTTTATACCACCTTTCCAGTACCATTTTGACAGAACCAAATAGTAAAGAAAATTAAAAAAAAAAAAAAAAATTACTCTTGCACATCTGTGTCTTGACCTTTCCTTCTGCATAACTTGTTTTATGGCAGGATTTTTCATCTTGAAAGTGGGTTTCTCCTCACACACCCATGTTTAAATTCAATTGTGCAAGTGTCCTGCTGGGGTTGGTGGGGGAGCCATGAAATGGGATTCCTATAATTATTTGATCACTCATTTATAGCAGTTGCTTAAATGTCTGTATTGATATGAAGGTGTTTGACTTAAAAAAAAAAAAAAAAAAAAAAAATAGGTTGCCAGATTTCTAGTAATTCCAAAACTTTTTGAGCAAAAATGTTAAAGCAATTATGTTCTGGTAGACTTAATTTCACATTGAAAAGGTTAAATTCTTAAATTTTAATTTTAACAATTCATTAAGGTTAGTCTGCATTTACAAAGGGCTAAATGTCTTTTCTAGTACTATAATTTATTCTAACAGGACTCAGTTTCATTAGTGATACAAGATGACAATCTTTCAATAAGCATACTGTTTTAAGTATTTATTCAAAATTCTTAAATCCAAAAGGACTAGGAGATAGCCACATTAATGTGATTTTTGTATTTATAGACACCTGGTTATATTTTTGCCCCCTCTGCATTTGGACCCCATTATCTAAGCCCATTTATTGTATTTGAATAATAAAAAAAACAGTAAACACTCTTGCTATAAGGCTAGTAATAAAAAAAAAAAATGCGAAGTATCGCGAGGGGATGTTACGCTTTAGTATAGAAGTAGTATTACACTAAGCACCAAATCCTGGAATCCTAATGCAAACAAAACCTCCGTTCATTTCAACAGGAGTTTTGCTTGGTGAAGTACTAAAAGGTTGGGTTCTTACTGTTTTCCTATATATAGGTCAAATCCTGAAAATTTCCTATCTGTAATCTTTTCTCACCCATTGACTTAAATAGAACAATTTGTGTGAGTAAGGCAACTTGAATGACTACAGCTTGCAAAAATGGGCTCTCAGTCACTCAAGTGAACTATTTGTGAGAGTGGCCAAGAGCCTTATAGAAAGAGTGCACTGGGTGATGCGTGTTTTCCTATTTCTCTAAAAAATGGGAGCTTCTGTTAACTTAAGACTTGTATGAAGCTGCTTTGTGTGTAATGAATTGGCTTACTTAATCTGTCTGGACAAAGTCTAGAGTGACAAACTGGTATATTGTAATTTAGCATCTAAAATCTATTGAGTAGAAAAGAGTATCTTAATCTTTAAAATGAAAATCTTGATTGTAGTAGTTTATTTATTTTTTTAAAGCAAAACATTACATGGGCAAGGTGTATCTGTCAAATAACTGAGTATCGGTCAGGAACCTGTGAAATTTTAACGTAGTTGAGTCCCTCTGGAGAAATATTTTAACATCTTGTTTGGAGGTTACCAGAAGCTCTGAGTGACAAGTCAGAATATATTGCATCATATTTTCTGATGTTATCCAGAAACCTGTAAGTGTCCCTTTCCTGTTTTAATGCCTTCCTTTTATTACCTGACTATCAGGGAAGCGTGGTTGAGGCTGCCCTGACCTGACATGTCATGATGTCGACTTGCTAGGTGGGGTTCGCAGGGGACATTAACCATTGGAGTTGTCGGTAAGAGAACTTTATTTCTAATTTTCTTCAGTAAGATGAAAGGGCTTTTGGGGGTGGAGGGAGGAACCAGGCTCTCGTTCCTTTATTATAAGCATTTGTCGAGAGCCACCATTTCAACGGAGAGTTTCCAAATGTAAAGGTAATGCTTGAAGTTAAAATCATCATGTCCATATCCAAGAGGTAAGCATGACTTGGCTTCTGCAGTTGAACTTCTTAGCTAAATGATCTTTATTTTTTCTCTTCGAAATTACTTAGGATTGCATAATATTTGAAAACAAACTATTCTATAGGTGTCTTAGACATAGGAGGCTCTAGGTACTTCAAAAGTGTATCAAGAATTAAAACAAGCTTATTTTGGCTACATCAGGAACAAGCTAATGAAGCATATAAAATGATTCTTCACCAGTCTCAGAAAGCTGATGAAGAATTTTTCCCAGTAGGCCTTTTAAATTCATAAAACCATAGTTTTAAGAGACCTTACTAAAATAGAGGTGGCAATAGCATAGTGCATGTCCCTGTTGAACCTGGACACCTGAAAATGAGTTGAGGTTTCAACTAGAGACTGTTCTAGAACATTTAAGCACCTAGCGAAACCATCATGCAACCTAGAACAGATGGGCATTGTTCATGGAAAGCCTGCAACTATACAATGTTGCAACAGAGTTGAGGTATGTTGGCAAAACTTTGAGGAAACGAGTTAAATAGAAGGTGCTGCATGTCAAGATTGAAGTTCATTGACAAGATTGAGGTGGGAATTCTGTACAATACCTGCTAGTACTGTGCTTGGCTTGTGCAATATCTGCTTCCCTACATAACATAAGAATGGGTATACTGGGTCAGACTAATGGTCCATCTAGCCCAGGGTCCTGTCTTCTGACAATGGCTAATGCCAGATGCTTCAAAGGGAA